GTTGAAACTGCAGACATCCTGATCCTCTACAGTATTTGCTTCCACATACTGTATAAACCAGGGGTCGGCAACCTTTAGTGCCCCTAAAGTGGCTCCTGGAGCCTTTTCAAAAATGTCTGATAGTGGAGTGTGAGGGCTATATTTTATTTCTAGTTTCAATGTGGTTTCTGTAGGAGGAAAAACATTCTTAACGTTTTTCAATGCTGCAAAAACTTGTATAAGTAATATTCAATTTTAGCATTTCTGTCAACGTAGTGCGTCATATCCTGTGACGCAGCCCGTGCCAGGCTGCAATGAAAACACACGTTTGATAATCATGAATGGTTTTTATGTGTTTGTAGCCTTTACTTTGTCATTTAGATAATAGGCTAATATAGCTAATGTAGCTAAGGTAGCTAAGGTTGCTAATGTAGCTAATACAGCTTCAGCCCCTGTTACCTTCATATAAGCCTTATACAACGCTGTTTTTAGTTTTTTGTCAAATATGGCTCCTTGAACCTTTTGAGTTGCCTGGGCCGCTAAAAAGGAAAAAAGGCCCGGGCCGTTTTTTTGTCCCAGTCCAGCCCTGCTGAAGGCTATGTATACACGAATATATAGGGCCCCCTGCTGGAGAATTCTGGTAAAAGCACTGTGTTTCTGTCATTCTGACTTCAGCTGGAGTTTGTTCACTGCTGTAAACTGGTTGCCCCTCTCTCTGGTATCCGTCAGGTCTCTCTGACCTCTCTGGTCTCAGGATGGGCTCTGCTCAATCCGTGCACCTGATTGAGTGTGTGTTCTAAAGACAGTTTTAACACCATCTTCCCCTTTTCTCTTATTTTAAAATGTATGTAATTGTTGCCCCTCTTGAGCCCGAGAGGGAAGAGAATTGTAAACCCTGAGAAAGGAAAACAGGAGACCAAATGAGTTTGTCTTGTCCTCAGCAACGGCACGGTTTATTCTCCTCTTTTACAGATTTAACCATATTTGTACATACAATTAATATAATATCAAAGCTATCAAAACTACAAATGTTACAAACTACTTTAATGTTTGTTCTCCACAGAAAATCAACACTTAATATTTAGATTTGCTTAACATGTAGTAACACACTGTAACCTTCAACATGGCGGCACTTCTCTCACGGTGATTTTGTGAATACACTTGTCCTTGACAATGAAAAGTATTTTTTCTACTTTCTGCACGCTCACTACGTACTGCTTCTCTAGTGAAATTTACCTTAGAACATCCTGCCTAATAATCCAACTCTGTAAATTAGCTTGAACATCTCCCCTAGCTTAGCATTTTAGCATTCAGCTACTAAGTTTACCAAGTCAATTCACCTCAGAACATGTTCATATTTACACACGTCCATTTACTTTCAACAGGGCAACAGTACCGTTTCATGTGCTTCTGCCAACATTTAACAAACGTGAGAAAGGAAAACAGGAGACCAAAGAGTTGTCTTGTCCCATGGATCTATTATAATAACTGGATAGGGTATTACTAGCTTGGAGCTGAAGAACCCACATGCTCGGGGGATTCTCGCGGTACTGCAGACTAAACCAGACTAAATTCACCTGGGCTACCCAGAAATGATCCTCATAGAACTCAATGTAAACTAAAACAGTGCGACCTCAGCTGACAGAGAACCTACAGTTTTAATAAAGATCGGATTTTGTGGGGATTTTAGTGTCCCTTGTCATCCTGAACTTTTTTCCTTCTTAAATCCTTCAGTTTTCTTTAAATCCACACTTTAGTGCCACAAACTCTGCTCGTCTGGCTCTCGCTCTAACTCCCGCTCTGATGAACTGCTCTGATTGGTCAGAGCGCAGCCGAGCCCCTCTGTGCACGTGCGTGAGACCCGGTGTGAGACCCTCACACGCGTGTTTGGCGCAACGCATCACGGGAGATCATCCACTGCGCGGAACCGGGAGGACCAGACGATGCCCAAATACAGGTGAGTTTCCCATGGATCTTTGCAAGTTCCAGGCCACTTCCGCTAATCTTTTCAGCACCCATGCCATCACAAAGCGCCACTGAGCACAACCATTCATTTGAATAGGGCGCCATCTTGGATCGCCGGGGCTTGTCTTGTCCTCATCAACGGCAGGGTTTATTCTGCCGTTCGGTCCCGTCTCCTAGAGCCCTGCACGGGCCTATCTGGGCCCAAGCCCGGCCCCTTGGCCGAGGGGGTGGCGCCCCAGCCCGGCCCAGCCCGATATGGTTTCCGAATTTTCAGGCCTGAAACCCGCATCAAGCCCGACTATTTTTTTATTTTTTTTTACCTCCCATAACTATGTTTTAGCCTATTATATAGTGCCGCGCACTGATATGAACACAGGCTTGGCTAGAGGGCGGAGTTATACATGGTAGTGATGTGTTGCAATGAGTTCTGTGTGTGCAGGGTGAACGGCCGCAGCTGTATGATACACAGCTGTATGATACACAGCTTTATGATGCCTCACAGATCCACCATATTGAATACAGTACGATGCATGCCCATTCATCCATCCATTTTCTTCCGCTTTATCCGTTGCCGGGTCGCGGGGGCAGCAGTCTAAGCAGAGACGCCCAGACTTCCCTATCCACACACACTTCCTCCAGCTCGTCCGGGGGGACCCCAAGGCGTTCCCAGGCCAGCTGAGAGACATAGTCTCTCCAGCGTGTCCTGGGTCTTCCCCGGGGCCTCCTCCCGGTGGGACGTGCCCGGAACACCTCCCCAGGAAGGCGTCCAGGAGGCATCCTGAACAGATGCCCGAGCCACCTCAACTGGTTCCTCTCGACGTGGAGAAGCAGCGGCTCTACTCCGAGCTCCTCCCGTGTGACTGAGCTCCTCACCTTATCTCTAAGGGAGCGCCCAGCCACTCTGCGGAGGAAGCTCATTTCGACCGCTTGTATCCGCGATCTCGTTCTTTCGGTCATTACCCACAGCTCATGACCATAGGTGAGGGAGGGAACGAAGATTGACCGGTAAATCGAGAGCTTTGCCTTTCGGCTCAGCTCCCTCTTTACCACAACGGTCCGATACAGAGACCGCATCACTGCGCACGCTGCACCGATCCGCCTGTCAATCTCACGCTCCATCCTCCCCTCACTCGTGAACAAGACCCCGAGATACTTGAACTCCTCCACTTGAGGAAGGACCTCTCCACCCACCTGGAGAGGGCAAGGCACCTTTTTCCGGTCGAGCACCATGGCCTCGGATTTGGAGGTGCTGATTCTCATCCCAGCCACTTCACACTCGGCTGCAAACCGTCCCAGTGCATGCTGCAGGTCCTGGTTTGTTGGAGCCAACAGGACAACATCATCCGCAAAAAGAAGAGATGAAATCCTGTGGTTCCCGAACCGGACCCCCTCCGGCCCCTGGCTGCGCCTAGAAATTCTGTCCATAAATACAGTGAACAGAACCGGTGACAAAGGGCAGCCTTGGCGGAGGCTAACATGCACCGGGAACAGGTCTGACTTACTGCCGGCAATGCGAACACAGCTCTGACTCCGGTCATACAGGGACCGGACGGCCCTCAGTACGGTCCCTGTGGTGGTGGCCCTCCTGTGGGCCCACCACATGCAGAGGGGTCCGTGGTGGCGAGGTGCAGCGAGGACTGGGTAGCAGTCGAAGGCGGAGACCTCGACGACCCAGTCCACACACCCTACGATGCATGCATTAAATTAAATTTATTATTTCCATTATCAACATTCATCCAGTTGTAAGCTGTCGAGTTGCCACAGGACGCGTCATCAGCCTACGCCAGCAGCCGCGGACTGCTCTCATAACATTAGCATGTGCATCGTGTCTTAATTCGTTTGTATTATAACTTAGATATTCACGGACCGCCATCTTGGTTTGCTTTGGCTGCCGTGAGACGCGCATGTGCAAGTTTGCATTACATCATTCATTACATCATTAACAACTGAGCGGCACAAGTCGACGAGCGGCACAACTCGACAGAACACCGCAACACACTTGTAAATAACGCTATGTGTCGTCAATGACAACACTACACAGAACAACAAACACTACAGCGTGATAGAACGCTATATTCAGTGGGTGTGTTCGTAAATGTAATCTGCCGCTCTGAAAGTGCGCTAGCCCGAGCCCGGCCCGTGTCCAAGGTCATTATACGGTCATCGGCCCGAAGCCCGGCCCTCGGGTTGTTGGGGGCCAAGGGCTCAAGTGCAGGGCTCTACCGTCTCCTATCTCATGTTGCTCATGCGCCCCCTTGTGGCACGTAGAAGTATTGCATCATGCAGTTCGCTGCACTTTATCCACATGAACAGTTTAATATTTTAAAAAACAGTAGGGTGTCTGGTTTTAGCGACTGAAATAACGTATAAATTATGTGTATTATATTTAAGCTGTTTTTAACCACTTTTAGTATATTTTTTAAATTATGAGCCTCACATTCTCTCCTGCTTTAATAAATGTCTCCTGACATTTTTTAACAAAGTGTGACCCGAGGTACTTAAAAAATAACCAATAAAATAACTAAAGTATTAATAAAACCAAAGGACACACACAGGTAAGTTTTGTAAAAGACAGCAGAGACAGTGCTTTTAAAATATGCAATTAAAAGTTTATTTATAACAGAATTAGGTTTAAAAAGGATGATATTTATTTATAAAAAAAAAAGTAACATTCAGGTTAAAATGGCCAATATGATAAAAGTAAAGTCCAATTAAAATCTGGCCGCCCCTGGGCCAGAGCCAAACGAAATCTGAAAGCAGACAAGTCTTAAACAGAAACCAAACAGGGATGGCTTGAGAGGGGGTAGCCCCACCCCAAACAAAACGGAAAGTGCTACCCACAAACGCACTAAATAACAAAAATACCAAGTGCAAACAGAAAAATGGGCCAAATCCCCCGCCCAAGCACATCCAAGGGAAACTAAATCTAAAGGCTAAAAGACCCAGGGACTGCTATACAAGACTGGTGCAGAGCTAAAAGGGTTCCTAAAAGCTACAAAAATGATACAACTCAAAAAGGAAACCCAAAAACGAACTCTAAACAAAACAGTAGCAGGCTAAAATCTGCAATTAAAATGGAAACAAACGTTAAACTCAAATGCAATAAAATGTAAACAAAGTGCTAAAACGCTTGTCCCACCTTAAAATTGCGATAAAACGGGGGAAAATAGCCACCACCGGAGTCCTACAAAAAGGCTCTAAGACCAGAGAAGTAAATTAAGAACAGATTAAAAATGCTAAAAGCGAGGGAGGGTAAAACACACCTGTCACCAGCCAGCAGCAGTCGAGACTGAGCACCAGGCGCGGGGGAATATTTAAAGGGGAGGCCACTTCCTCTATTAGGCAAGAAGCGGCAACTCCTCATTTAGGAAAGGGAGCCCCCTACTGCCCGCTACAATCTGCCCCCAGTTTGTCATCGCCGTCCCGGTGATACCATGGCTAGTCCCAGGGCCTAAAATAAGCGCTCACCATACTACTGGCACTACTGACCCGGGAGGTAGCAGCCCCACCTGACCTAAGAGATGCTGTGGTAGGGAGATGGTGCTGGTTCGGGTGCCGACCCGCTGTGGCCCGGGTTGTCCTCCTGGGGCCTTCTGGGAACTGATGCGGAGGCTGCCTTAAGGAACCTCCTGAGGGTTCGGAGACAGGCGGATGATTAGGCTGGAGGGGGGTACCTGCTTGTGAGGGCACAGTGGAAGTGATTGCCTCTCCAAGGGCTGGCCTGGTGACCACGTAGAAATTACCCTCTTCCTCATCCTCCTCCATCTCCATCTGGACCTCGGGAGACTGCCTGTTTGGGCTCCGAGGGCAGAGGGGGTCGGGCACAGGTTTTAACATGCCACGATGAACGGTTCTTACCCTCAGAGGGTCTCCCATGGGGGCCACCGAGTAGACTGGTCCCCCAGAACTTGGTGCTTGCACCACCACATGGATTTCTGGGCCCCACACGTCCTGGATCTTCGAGTGGCCCCGTCTGCTGTGGTCCTTGAGGTATACAAACTGTTGCTCTTGTAGATCGGTTTATCTTACCCCAGCATCATGCCGCTCCTTCCGGCGGGCCGCTGCTACTTTTAGCCGTTGTTGTGCCCCATCAAACGCTACCTGTAGTCTCTTCCGGTGCTCCTGAATCCAGTCCTCCACTCTACCCTCACTGGCCTCTGGAACACGGCCAAGGATGAAGTCGATGGGAAGATATGGTTCCTGCCCAAACAGAAGGAGATGTGGAGACTCACCGGTGGACTGATGGATGGTAGTGTTCAGTGTTTCCCACAGGTTTGAAGGCAATGTGTGGTGGTCGTCGGCGGGGAGGGGGTGCTGGTCGGCCGGCAAAAATTAACAATGACATTGTTAATTGGTCAAATACAGCTTTATTGGACTGATCAAAATATCAAACATTATTCACACGCTGTATATTACACTATAAATACTGTTAACGCTGTATAAACCTACTTGTTGCAAAAAATAACATTATTCACACGCTGTATAAACACTATATTACACTATAAATACTGTTAACGCTGTATAAACCTACTTGTTGCAAAGTTTGCATGTTTTATCAGAGCACCTGATTTTTCGGGGCTGGCGAAAAAAAGATTTTAATGCCATATCATAAGGGAAGTCCTCAGGACAGGGTCCATTGATGGAGATCCTCAAGCAAGCTGCCAGGTGTTCTCCTTGCAGTTTGTTCCTGAGGTCTGTTTTCACCTGGAGATAAAGCAAAATGATAAATTATTATCAATGCAAAATGCACCAATATAAAGACAATGGGAATTTTTTATTGCTATTACCCTGTTCATTGCAGAGAAATCCCGTTCACAGTTCACAGAGGAAACAGGGATAAGCAAAGCAATGCTTGCCAGAAGGCTCAGGCAGGGGTAGAGGTTGGCCCACTCATCAAACTCACTTGCCAGTAAACACAAGAGCTCCTCCTGGTTCTTGTTCTTGAAAGATAAGGGTTTGTCGTGGCATTAGTGTGTGTGTGTGTGTGTGTGTGTGTGTGTGTGTGTGTGTGTGTCAGGTCAATTCACTGACCTTGAATATAATATTGAATATAATAAATTCTATCTCGTTCTCTCCCTGACCCTGTCTTTCTGCTTGAGCAGCACTGGTTGAAGCCTGAAAATATTGTAAACAACTTATATAGCTAATTACACTGCGGACTGTTTCAGACCGATACCTCTGGTTCAGGCTGATCCTCATCCTCAACGCGTGTCTTTTTCAATCGCGGAAAATATTGTTCAATACTCATCTGGATTGAAGCAGCAAACATTCAGTGTAAGAGTAAAACAATGACATAACGTTACTTATAACTTTATTTCTTGCTACAGCTGCTACATAGTGTTTTGACCCCGACAACCCAACTACATACCGCAAACTTGCGACTAATTAACTTTATAAAGAAAGCGTCATCGCTTGCTAAAGGAGTCGGGACGGAAATTCAACATTGACACTGAACATTCAGCACTTTTTAATGTGTGATTTACGAGATCACGGGATACCAACCTTTAGTGAACTTCACCAGCCGTCTTCTCTGCACCAAAATTAATAGACACAGCTGCTTACAGCGATGATCGCTGATGGAGACGGAGACACGCGGTGTGCACAAAGGGGAGGGGCTGTGTGTGTGTAGGTCTCTGTATGTGGGAGAGACGCGTAGCTTGAGTGAGAGTTACGAAGGGCCGCCACATTTTAAACACCCCTCCCCGCTGTCAAATTGACCGCTGCGGCGGCACTAGACGATGCATGTTTTAAATAGCGTAACAAAAAAAATATATACATAATAATACGAAACGCAATTTGTGGCGGGCGGTCTCTAATCTGTGGCGGTGCGCCACAGATTAGTCTATGTGTGGGAAACACTGGTGTTATAGGCGAATGTAACGTGTGGGAGGCATTTAGACCAGTTCTGTTTCTTCTCCAGGGGCAGAGTTCTTAACAGGTCGTGGAGCGTCCTGTTAAAGCGTTCACATTGACCATTTCCTTCAGGGTGATAGGGTGTTGTATGCGACTTTTGGGTGCCATAGATGGTACAGAGCTGGCGGATGAGAGCGCTTTCGAAGTTCCTGCCCTGATCCGAATGCAGCCTTGCCGGGACGCCGAACTTGTAAAACCACTCCTGCACCAAGATGTGAGCCACCGTCAAAGCTCGCTGGTCCTTCGTAGCAACAGCCTGTGTGAACTTAGAAAACACATCCGTCATTACAAGCACATTCTCTGTACCGTCTTGTGAAGGTTCGAGTAAGGTAAAGTCAATTGCTAACACTTCATTGGGTCTGGACGCTAGCAGATGACCCATGGCAACTTTAGTGCAAGGCACTGAGGCCTTGGCAAGAGTACAGCGTTCACAGCTTTGGCCCCAGTCCTTAATGTCCTTGTGCATAAGGTGCCAGTAGCATCTCTGTCTTACCAACTCTGTAGTTTTTTCCAGGCCTTGATGGCCATGTCCATGGTGCAGCTGCTGAAGTACCTCCTCTTTCAGACAGGCTGGTAGAAGCAGCTGATACAGGTCCTCGCCTCCATCAGACCTCTGTGTGTGGCGATACAGCACCCCGTTCATCTCCTGTAGCCGGTCCCACTGCCGACACAGCTCCAGCACCTGAGGGGAGAGGTTAGCTCTGTCGGCCCTGTCTTGGCCTAGCTTGTTGTAGGGCCATCAACTCCTCTGCTGAATGGGATGGAAAGGCAGTGATGGCGGCTTGAGTCACCTGGAGAACAGAGTGAGGTACAGGTCTCTGAAGCGTTGGTGGAATGGCGGTACCAGGCAGGCATTGCTCCAATGTCTCTGATGCTGGCCACCTCGACAGGGCATCAGCATTACCATTTGTTCGGCCTGACCTGTAACGTATGGTAAAGTCAAACGACGCTAGTTGGGCTGCCCACCTCTGTTCTGTTGCCCCCAGTTTTGCCGTTTCCAAGTGACTAAGAGGGTTCTTGTCTGTCCATACTGTGCATCTTTGGCCAAGAAGGTAGTCACGAAATTTCTCCGTCATTGCCCATTTTAATGCCAAAAACTCTAATTTCATGGAGCTATAATTTGACATATTTTTCTCTTGTGCCCTTGTGCTCTCTGCACCTCTCCAATCAACTGGTGGAGGGGGCCTGCCATCTTCGCAAAGCCGTTGACGAACCGCCGATAGTAGCTGGCAAAGCCTAAAAAAGATCTCAATTCCGTTGTAGTATTAGGACGAGGCCAGCCAGCTACGGCGGTAATTTTATCGGGGTCTGTGGACACTCCATCAGCAGAAATCACATGGCCAAGGTACTTCACTTCCCTTTTGAAGAATTCACATTTTGAAAGCTTTACCTTGAGGCCTTCTTGTTGCAGCCGGCTCAAGACAGCACCCAGACGCTGGAGGTGGTCATCTACGGAGGAGGAATAAACAACAACATCGTCAAGGTATAAAAGCAGGGATTGACAGTGCTGGGATCCAAACATTCTCTCCATTAGCCTTTGGAAGGTGCTAGGTGCATTACATAAGCCGAATGGCATCCTGTTGAACTCGAATAAACCAAACGGTGTGCAAAACGCAGTTTTGATTTTGTCACGCTCGGCCATCGGGACTTGATTATAGCCACTAGCAAGGTCTATGGTTGAAAACCATTTTGCACCAGACAATGCATCCAGTGACTCCTCAATCCTGGGTAATGGAAATGCGTCTCGGCGTGTTTTGCTGTTGAGTTGTCTGTAGTCAACACAGAGGCGTATGGTGCCATCCTTCTTCTTGACAATCACAATAGGAGAGGCGTAGGGGCTACTACTCTCCCGGATCACCTGGCTATCAAGCAGTTGTCGTATGTGGGCCTTAACTGCCTCATACTCAGAGGGGGGTATTCTCCTAAACCTCTGTCTGACAGGTGCATCATCGAGCAATGGGATCTCATGAGTAATGAGGTTTGTACAACCCAAATCACCTTCGCTAGTGGAAAACACAGAACTGTACTGCCTGAGTAGACACCTCACCTTGTCCTGCTCCTTTGGAGGTAAAGCGGACAGATCTAGCCCATCAAAAAGGCTAGGCGGGGTACTCTCTGTAACCATCTGAGAGGAAATTGTGGCCCTCACCTGCTCGTTAGGGGACCCCACTACCTCGGTGACACCCTCTGGTAGACTCACTATGTCGGCTGGACTCAACATACCTATGGGGATGCGTGGCTGTAGCACGGCATCGGTGGTGCCTACATTTACCACTGGGATGTACGCCGTGCCTCGATGTACCGCGACCATAGCAGGGGCTATGACCACACCTGCTGGAATAGAACGCATACTGGTCAGCGGTTCAAAAAGGCCAGACTCCAAGGGACCAAACCTGCCTTGAGGACATGTAGTTGGGACAATCTTAACTGTACCTGCAGGAATGCACACTGGCCTCCGACCTCGTACTCTCACCATGCCTATTTTAGGGCTGTCTCCCTCTACCTGGGCTCTCTGACAGTGCTGAAATGCATTAAACCAGGGGGAAGCGGCCCCTGTCACAAAAGGGAGTTCAAACAGTGAGGGGCCATGCTGCTGGAAAAGCTCATTGTAACATTCTCTGATTACATTCATGCCCAAAATGCCTGGGACCTTAGGTTGGGGCAAATGGTTAGGAGGATCTCGCACAACTAAAACACAGCGACCTAGTACAACTTTTCCCAGTACCTCAACATCTGCCTCCAAATAGCCAACATAAGGTATGTCAACCCCATTAGCTGCGTGAAGCTCAAGCCAATGGCAGGAGTTTAACTTTTCCTTGAAGTTACTAGCAAAAAAGCTTTCAGTGATTGTTGTTACC